ACGCCGTGGTTCTTTAAAAATGCATTCTTCCTCCGGAGCTCAAGTGCAGAGAGTGGAGGTCATCACTTTATGGTTCCTGGCCCATTATTGCTGGTCTGTTGGGGCCAAGGTAGTTGAATTAACTCATTTTCCCCCTTCAATGGCCACTCCTACTTCAGTCACCTCCTATCCATGTATCTACCCTAATCAATTCAATGTCTTTAGATCTGTTATCTTTGAAAATCATTTAGCATTATTTTGTGTCTGTAGGTGACCTTCATTTACATAATGCTTATTGCTTTGTTTTCCACTTCTTGTGTCTGAGCTCTTCTGGTCGCTAGATGCAGACCCGGTTCCTTATTTCTGACTGCTGTGTCCTATTCTATCATCAGCATAAACTACCTTTTGCATTTTAATTCTCCTTACTGATGGAAGCCTACAATGCCTCTAACTCTTTGCTACCATAAGTAATGCTGATGGACATTCCCATGTCTTCACTGATGCAAGAAATATTTATTGAGCACCTCCAATTTGCCAGGCACTGTTCTGGATAGTCACCTAAAATATAAATGAACAAAACAGACAAGTCTTCATGAAGCTTGCAGTCTCCTGGGGGCTGACAGACAATCCACACGAAAAATACACACAGTATAAGATGGTAACTGAGATGGGGGAAGGAAAGACATAGAAGGCTCAGGAATGGAGGAGTGGAGGTGGTGGTAGCTACGGTTTTAAATTAAGATCATTTTAAACTTGGGCTTAAAATGGGCTTCATTGGGAGTCTTCTATTTAGCAGAGTTGAAGGAGGTGAGAAAGGGGGCCAAGAGGATATTTAGAGGAAAAGTTTCCCAGACAGAAGAAATAACCAGCACAAAAGCCTGAAGGAAGGAATATGCCTGGAGCGGCCGAGGCCCAGTAAAGAAGCTGGATCAGAGTAAATGACGAGGAGAGCTCAGAGGATGTTAGAGCAGAGATCAGGAGGAGCGCCTCTTCTGCTTTAGGGACTGGGGTTGACTTCCCCGTAAGATACGGCGTGGTTGAAGAGTTCTGAGCAGAGGAGTAACTTGGCGGCCAGCTATGTGAGTGTGGGACCTCTGTAGTTGCATAGGATGCCTGGGCTTGGTTTAATGCTCTGCTATCACTGTCTTGAGATTTTTGAACAAGGAACCCTTCATTTTTATTTTGTACTGGGCCCTGCAAATTATGTAACTGATCCTGCAAGGCCCATGTAACTCCAGGGAGAGGAAATCCCGGGGAAAAATACCTAGCTGAAACCGAAATCAGTCAGAGGAAGAAATAAAGTTTAAACCCGTTTATTGCTTACAAACAGCCCTCTGGGGACAGGATCTCTCTCCTGCTCCAGCAGAAGCAAGCAAATCCTCCTCCCCCAAACCTCTCAGGTTTAAATAAGCCCTCTGTTGCCCAGGTAATTACCCATTGATATGGAAATGAACTACTTCTCTCCACCCTTTAGGAGCCTGTTGATATGGAGATGTACTAAAGCCAGGTGAGAGATTCTGGAAATAGTGCAGTTTTACCCACAACCCATATTCTGAAAAGATCAATATGGCTACTGTGTTGAGGGTACATTGCAAATGTAGGGAAAAGAAGCCAGGAGACTAGTCAGAGGCTCCTAGAGTAATCCAGACAGGAGGTGTGATTGCCTGGGCCATTGGGGTGGTAGCAGAGAAGGCGGACCCAGCTGAATTCGCTGATGGATTGAATCTGTGGTTATAAAAGAGAGATTATAAAGTGACTCTTCCAAAGTTCTTGGCTGATCAAGTCAAAGGATAGGGTTGCCTTGTACTGGGGTGGAGGGAGCTTCTGGTAGGACTGCTTTAGGGAGAAAGAGCAAGAATTGTATGGGACCGCTGAATTTAAGATACTTTTTAGGTACCCAAGTAGAAAAGTTGAGTAAGCAGGTGGATATCTAAATCTGTAAGTACCAGAAAGAGGTGTGAACTACACATAAAAAATTGGAGTCTTTGGTGCAGATAAATGGTAGTTTAGAAGTGTGAAAAGAGAGGACCCAGGGATGAGCCCCAGGGCATCCCATTGTAAAGAGACTGGAGACCAGAGAGAGAACCAGCAAAAACTGAGGAAAAGACCATTGAGAATCAAAACCAAGAGATTGTGGTCTCCTGGAAACAAGTGAAGAGTGCTTCAAGAAAGGAGTGGTTGGGGAGAGGTGCTGATGACTGGATTGAGCAAACCAGAAATATACCGTTGGCATCGGCACCCTTGACGATAGTGGTTTGGGTGGAGGGGTGGAGGGGAAAGCCTGGCTGTCAAGGGTGGGAGGAAGGCAAACGGGGACAGAAAGTACAGGCAGTTCTTTCACGGAGCTCTGCCTCAAAGGAAAGCAAAAATCTGGAGTAGTGGCCTAGCACAGAAAATAGGGTCAAAAGCTCTTTTTAATAAAATGAGAGAATTGTCATCATATTTGAATGCTGATGAGAATGACCCAATAGAGACCAAAAAAATAACAAAAAGAGAGGAGAGGATTGTCCTTGAAAAGGCCCCAGGGCACTGTGCCAGGGAGGGAGACTGGCCACCATGCCAGTCTGTTGTTCCTGTCACTCTGACTGCTCTCAGTTCCTGGATGTTGTCCCTTTAACTCACTGGGAATCCCTTGGCCACACGTGGCCTCTCTTACATACACTGTCAATGACTTTGACCTTCTATGGCTTTGGAGCACTTGCTTGGCCAAACCATAACCCTGCTCTAAAGCCACGGATCAATGGACTGGTGATATCAGTGGTATCAAAGGGTGGTTGGAGTTGAGAGCAAATTAGCTGGAAAGACAGGAGGTGATGCATTTTTATGTGGAGCACAAAATAGAGAGGTTGCCATTATCAGTTTAGGTTATAGCCATGAGAAAAAATGCCTAAAGTAGGGTGGAAGACAAAACCTTTGGATGAGAAGAATTCAAGAAACCGAGAAGCCAGATTATTAGGAGATTCACCTATACACCTACTAACCTAGATTTAAGGCAGGAGTAGTGTTTGTGTTAGTGACAGTGAGCCAGGAGCTAAACTCCTTTAAATGAGGGGGAGGGCCCCAGAGTTTGGTAGATGACAGTAACAATGAAGATTAGTCTATAAATTCATGTATTAACTGAATATACATACCCAGGAGTACACAGTAAGTGTAGTAAATTATAGTCCTTCACAATGGCAGCACCAATTCAGATCTGCAGTGTAATAAAGGATTCTGCTTCCTTTCATCTTTGTCAACAATTGGTATTATCTGTTTTTGTAATTGTTTTAGTTGGATGTAAGTATTCTCTCATTATTTTGTTGTGTTCTTATTAGTAGTGACACTGAGGGTCGTGTTAGTTACTCAGGTATCTTGTGAATATTGATTCATGTCTGTTGCCTGTTTATAGGTTTATGTTAGTGCCTGCAAATCAATAAGAAATAGACTATCTGTTTATTAGAGGATTAAGACTTTATGAGTTGAAAATTTTTTTCTGGTTTATCATTGTCTTTTTATTTTGGCTCGTGATTTTTATTCAGAACCTTTTAATTTTTATGTATTATATCTGCATACAATGCAAAGTTTAATCTGAGAGTAATTGGCTTTTTGAAAATATGTATAATGTGTCTTCACTTACTCAAGTTTTATAGCCTTAATACTGATTGCATCTTTTTCCCATAAGTGTCTAGGTCATTCTTTGGGTTGACTCCTAGACACTGTAATTCTGGTTGCTATCATGAACAGTATTTTTTTTATTGTATTTCCCAGTTTCTTAATACTGGCACAGAGAAATAGTATTAATTAGCCTGTTGCTTTTATACCTAGCAAACTTGCTGAACTCCTATTGGTTCTAATAATTTGTATATTGATTTTGTATGGCTCTAATGTTGATCTTTTTTTCTGTAAAATATGGTAGTTTTGCCTTCTTTCCAACCTTATATCTCTTGCTACTTTCTCCTTTTTCAAATACTCTGTTGAACATTAACAATGTAATAGGCATCCTTCCTAATCGCTGAGCTCTCCAACAGGTATATCATTTTCGAGGCAAACCGAGATTCATCTGTAATATGACAACACTCATATGTGTGTGTGGAGGTGGGTAGATAGTTCCCCCTAACCACAAGGAGATGACATAGAGTCAAGCAGAAAGTTTTCATATACATTTGATTTACTCTTAACCCACCATGCATTCATTCATTCAATTCAGTTGAGCTCCTCCCATGTACCAAAGCAGCAAACAGGACAGACCTGGAGATAGGCTCTAAGTAAATAATTGCAAGAAAATGTGTGCTGTGGGAGTGTTCAGACAGGTGGTCAGACAAGGGCTGCTTTAGAAAGATGTCTAAACAGACCTGATGGATGAGTAGCAATTAACTAGGCAAACAGAAAGAGGTGAGTGTTTCTGGCAATGGAAACAGCTCCTGGGGAGGCCTAGGATCTAGAGGGTGGTTTGCTGGAGAAGGGCGGAGAGCCGGGGAGGAAGGACTCAGCACTGATGAGCGGCCAGGGCCTTGTCAGCTGTCTCAAGGAATTTAGATTTGGCCCAAGGGTACTGAAAAGCCATGAAGAGGTTTTAAGCAGAAGGGTGACAAGATTGGATTAACACTGGCAAGAGCCCTCAAACTACAATATGATCAGTTAAAGAAAGGAGGATCAACAGGCCCATTCCATCATGGCTTGGACTAGGATGGCAGGCCCTGGTGACCGACTGAGTGCGACTGTAGGGGAAGGAGAAGTCAAGAAGGATTTCCAAGACTCTGGCCTGAACAGCTAGTTAGATGGTGGTGCCACTTGCCGAGACAAAGAATACAGGAGGAGGAGCAGGAAGACGGAGTTCAGTTCTAGAAATGTGGAGTTTGAAGTGCCTGTGTGTTGTCCAAGTAAAGACATCCCAGAGGCAGCTCTGCTTAAGGGCTAGAGGTAAAAATTCAGAAGCCCTAAGTTTATAGATGGTGACTGAAGCCTCGGGCATCTTTGGGGACAGTGTACGTGGTGCTAGAAGGACACTGAGGAGAATGAGAAGGTCAGGTGCGTCAGGAACGCCCGAGAATGTGGTGTCATAACTGCCCAGGCAGGGCCCACGGCCGCCTCCCAGGGAAATCTTCAGGTCCCGGATTATGGGGCTGCCACAGAAATCCTAGGGCATTTTTACCCTCTTTTGTTTTTCTTTTTGACAGTTGCCCGATATAGGCTCCAAATAGCTAAGCCACCAAAATCACCTCTGGGAAAAAAACCCAACCTTGAAAAGGATGGTGAGTACAGGGGAGTGAGTTCTCTGACTGGGCGCTGTGCCTGGGCTGGACACCCACGCCAGGGGCCTGTGGCCCGCACTGCCTCCTCTCTCCACAGGTCCGGATTTTAAGCCCAACCTGTGGATGTGGGTGAACCCCAACAGGGTGTTTCCCCCTGGGAAGCTGGAAGTTCCAGAACCCGGCGATGGGGAGGACCTGACAAGGGCACTCCCCTCCCCTCAGCCACCCTCAAAAGTGGAAGACTTTGCCAACTGCTCAGGGGCCATGGAGGGGGAATCACTGCCACCTTCCTCCAGTGAGCAGTCTTCCCCTCCGAAGATGTCTGCCTCTTGCCCCTGCAACTGGGAGGTAGGGATTTCTGGGGGTGTGGGCCAGACTTGGGGCTGCAGGCAGGGTGGGCACAGGGATACAAGTCAGAGTTCTGTTTTCTTAGGAATAACAAAGGTTAATGGGCCCCCAAATGAGCTGTACCCTTGGGTTGAGAAGCTCAGACGGTGGCCCTGGACCGCTACCCCTTCTGCCATTGCACCCCTGGGGCAGAGGCTGTGGAGTCGGGATCAGCTCCTGCTCTGTCTCCTCCAGCTCACAGAAGAGGAGGAGGCTAAGGACCAGGAAGACAGCACCTCTGTGGCTCTCCCGTCCACGCACAAAAGGGTCCCCCTCCAGAGGTGGAGGCTTCGGCAAGCCAGCAGCCAGGAGGGGAGGCTCTGGTCCCGGCCACCACTCAATTACTTCCACCTAATTGCACTGGCATTAAGGAACAGTTCCCCCTGTGGCCTCAACGTGCAGCAGATCTACAGTTTCACTCAGTATGTGCCAGGGGCCCTGTGAGGAGGGGAAGGGAGGGGGTCAGGAACCTTCCAGTAGTCCCTTCCCTGGTCTCATACCTTCCAGTCTGCCCTGGGCTGCTTGCTATCTCCTCCGTTCCCTGCTGGGTCGGAAAGGATAAGTGCCTTCCCAGCACTCCGCAGCCCAGGCGCTGGTTCTGGGTTGTCCCCAGATGGGTGTCTACACATCACACGTACAGGAAGATATCCACCCCTTGCCCCTGTTCACATCAAAAAACTCCAATTTTTATATCAGTTCTTTAAAACATAAATTCACCTGGGTCATAAGTTCTCCCACCCTCCCTGCCCAGATTACCCAGGATCAAAACCTGGCTTCCCCAACAGTTGCTCACGTTTTCCCACTGGCTGGACCGGACTGCCTGCATAGTTCCGGGCACCGCTGCGGCCAGCGCGCCCAGCCGAGGAGGGACTCACATACAGCATTCATTGTCATGCCCACGGGAGTGCGAGGGAGTTTCTCAGGCCTCTTTCCCAGAGCAGGAGGGTCTCTGTATATTAATTCGCAAGTGGTGTCCCTCCTCGACCAGGCTTCCTCCCTGGAGTCGGTGGGCCTGCCTCCGCTCCGTACACGCTGCATGCCAACGCGCTGCGCCCTCGCAGGAGGAAGAGCCTGGGCAGCAGGCTGCGCTGCTAAGAGGAGACTTGGGGCCAGGCCGAGGTTTTGCCATGGGTTCAGTCAGCAAAGAGCGGGTCTAGGCCTGCTTGCCATTCTCCTTGCCGTTAAGGACTGAGGCTCCTGCCCCCAGGGGAGAACATTCTCAAGAATAGGGCAGCCCCCAACTCACAAACACCTTTCCGTACCATTCTGCCCTGTCCACAGACAGCACTTCCCCTTTTTCCGGACGGCTCCAGAAGGCTGGAAGAATACGGTCCGTCACAATCTGTGTTTCCGAGATACCTTCGAGAAGGTGCCGGTCAGCATGCAGGTCGGGGCCGGCACGCGGCCACGGTCCTGCCTCTGGAAGTTGACTGAGGAGGGGCACCGCCGCTTTGCAAAGGAGGCCCGCACCTTGGCCTCCACTCGGCCGGAAAGTATCCAGCGGTGCATGAGCCAGCCAGGTGTGAGGCCCTGTCCCACATGGGGCAAGACAAGGGGACCCCAAGGTCCTGACCCAGGGCTGAGTGTGCAAGGAAGAACCCTGGGTCACACCACGGGGTGCCTTCTGTAGGAAGGGGAGAAGACAGCAGTAGTGTAAGGCCCTGGGGGCGAGGGGTGCCTGCCAGAAGAGGGATGCCCCACACCCAAGCATGGGACTTGGGGTTCAGGGAGTTGGTGGGGAAACAAGTCACAGCCCAGCAGCCTCGGGAAATGGTGACCACACAGTGTGAGGAGCATGGTGTGAGAGGATATGTACAAAGGGGGCTTTTTCTTTTGCTGGAGACCAAGTCACTCTGGGGCCTTAGAGAGAAGTAGAGCACCTGCTGGGGAATGTTCCAGGCTTAGGGAACAGTAACTGCCACGGCAGATCAATGCCTCTGACTCTCTTTTCTTACAGAGGTGATGCCCTTCCTCTTTGCCCTTTAAGGCCAAGAAGCAGGAGTCAGCCCAGACCTTATTAAAGTCACCTGCAGCAGCCTGGCATGTGTGTGGTCTCTGGGGCCGGGGATGAGGGTGGAGGTGGAAGCCAGCACTTGCTGCTGATGGGCTCAGAGGCAATGCGGCGGTTGTCAGCCGCGTGACAAACGGAGCCCATGCTCTTCCTCGCAGGAAGAAAATACCCAACCCTCTTTGGGATCCTGGGATGGCTCCCATTTTTCTAGACTATGTGGATAGTCTTGGGCAAAGGTACCTTGTAGCAGCCAGCCCTGCCAGAGGCCCAAAAAAGCACCACACACAGGAGTGGATGTGACTGTCTGGGGACAGCAAAGAGAAGCCCAGGGAAACATCATTTACGGGACAGCTAAAGGAAAGACGTCCCCTCATTGGGAGGCCAAGAAGGGGCAGCGAGAAAGGTGAATGGAAAGTCTCCAGGGCCCAGATGTGTGGCCCCTGCCTGCGCTGTTGCCCCTCCCCCGGCAGGCCTTCTGGAGAAGCCAGAGTGCTTGTGGACTAAGAGCCCTTACAGGCTTCAGACCCTGGCTGGACTGCTGTGGGTTGTGGACGTGGCATCCAGGGCAGGGCCAGCTGGCAGCCGCAGGTCTGAGGGGAATGGTGGGAAGCCTGGGAGAACAAGTGAGAAAGGAACAAGGTTCAGAGCTGCATCAGGATGCGACAGACATTCAGACAGGGCTTGGTGACACTGGATTTCCCAGGGGGTGGGATGACCACTTGCATTCCCTCTCCTGGTCTGCTGTTATTGCCCAGCCTGCACAGAAACATGGCTCCCCCTTCAGACACCCCCACTCCTGTCCCACAAGGGACTGGGCATCACTTCTCTCCAGAGGGGGCAGGCATTTTCTCTTTGAGCTTGAGTGTCCTGATAGGAGGAAGAGTTAATAATGCCTCTTTCTAGTACCTGAGCGGAGAACATATGGGATGGAGTGGAGTGTGCATAGTGAACCTGGTTCGCAGCAGAAACTGCACGGCAGCTATTATGCTCATTGTGAATCTGGGGGGGCGTCTCCTCCCTGTTCCAGGAGGCTGGTGGACTAATGATGGCCTGGGTCTACCTTCAGCATTTGACAGTTCTGGGTGGTAGCCTGGACCTCACCATTGCTACACTTCTATTTTCGATCTCGGACTCTCAGCTCTGCTCTTTCTCTGCAGATAGCTTGTCCTTTACCGGGTCTTCCTCAGCACACATTTTCTTAACATTTCTACACTTCAGTTTCTTTTCTATGCAAAATGGGGATATTAAAAGTACACCTGGATTTGATTTGAGAATTAAATAGGACAATGGAAAATGTGTAGTCTGGTGTCTGGCATATCAACACTGAGTCCTTGGACCAGACATTCTACGTGCATTTGTAGATGTGATCCATATACCACCTCAAGGAGCAGGCAGTGTTACTCTCATTCTTATGTCTTCGCTTTGATGGCCATTACATCTGAGGAGTAGCCTTCGTTTCCTGTACACTTATTCACCTCTCACTCCCTGACTTACTGTGAAATCCCACTGCCTCCCCGCTGGTCTCTGAAACATGGTATTCCTGACAAGCATGACCGTGCCCTACCAGACCACAATCTCTACCTTTGAACAATGACCCCAGTTCTCATTTGCTTAATGTGCACATTTTGGTAACAGACACGAAATCCCACCCCACTCACCTCTTGATCGCCACCCCTGTGCTCTTGGAGATCCAGCTTGTTCATTCATTCCCAAATGCAGGCCAGAAATTTAACAGTGCTGAACTAGGAGCTCTCGCTGACTCTAAGGGGTGCTGTGGTTGCTGCAAGGATTTAGGGGTGTTACAAGCATTGGTAGTCAAACCTTGCGGCAGGAGGCAGACAGTCGTTCACCCTGATGAACTGACCCTCATACTTCAGGCCATTTATAATGAGTTGTGCCAAGAACCTAAGAAGAAAGTATTCGTTGCATCATTTTAATGTATACAAAATTTCCTAGGAATGTAACTACTATGTAAAATGAAAAAAGATTGTACTTTTTTGGTTTGGAAGTTTATCAAGGGTTGTTTGCCATTTCGAAAAATCACTTCACAGACGGCAAGGCCGCCCTGGTACTTAACTCACCAATTCCACATGCCTGTGTCAGCCTGTGTTTGTATCTGTTGGTACTCAGGGTTTCTACATGTGCAAACGTTTGTTATTTCAATATAAAAAAAAGTATTTTCAGTATTCATTTGAATGTCATGTCTTACATCTAAGCCATTCATTATAAGCATGTGAAAATTTCCAACTAGTTCATGTTTTCAAATACATTTATCCATTGAAATATATTTATTTCATCATACATTCCTCTCCATTTTTCTGTTATATTACAGTTAAAGTGTTATATTAGCCTTTTTAAAATTACACATGTGGGTAGGTTATGTTATCAGTACATTCATTCCAGGGTGGTAAAGACAGTTTTACAAAATATTTGCTCTATTCTTAGGATGGTAAGGCTGGTACCACAGAGGACCACTGAACCAAGCAACATACAAAATATAGTCCCTGTCTCAGCAGTGCTCACCCACAGTGACACTGGCAGCCAGTGTGGGCAACAGAGTAAGTCACGTTCACATCCAAGCCCCAGAGCCTAGCATGGCGCCTGTGAGGTAGTAGAAATGCACTGTTTGCTATGAATTGTCCCAACAGTAATAACTTCTCTAACAGGTGGACTGCATAGTCTCTGGAAGCACAGAAGAGGCAGTTACCTCTGTCTGGAGGAGCCAGGGAAGGCTTCTCGCAGGAGGAGACATTAGCTCTTGGTCTTTTTTTCCAGGCCTGGAAAACGACAGCAAGCACTTCTCCAGATGTGCCCCAAGCCAGCCTTGCTCTGCAGGCAGCTGCTGATGCTCCTAGGGCAGAGGTGGAGGCAGAGGTGGGGGCTGGGGGGCAGAGGAAGAGCAGAGATGGGAAGGAAACCTGACTCATGCCAAGGAAGAGATGGGACAGACACATGCAGGCGGTGGGTTGGAACAAATCGGAAACTGCCTTTCCCTAATCCACCTGGAGCTGCTCTGTGGTTACCGTCTCCTCCTGGACCATCTGGTTGCTAAATTCTGTGTGACAGCCAGTGAGGAGTGGGTGGAGGGAGCAGGTCATTAGCATCTTTCACTTGGGGTCTCCCCAGAACTCTCTGCAGCCTAGATTGCATTTTTTTCATATTGGTATGTACAATAAAATACACAAATCTTAGTATACAACTTGATGCATTTTGGCATGTGTATATAGATAGTATTTAATGTCATATTCTATGTACTGGCATAGAAAGATATCGACAATACATTTTTGGGGGTAAAAAAACCCAATATGGAACCCTCCTACACTGCTGGTGGGAATGTAAATTAGTTCAACCATTGTGGAAAGCAGTATGGAGGTTCCTCAAAAAACAAAAAAGTACAAATACCATTTGACCCAGGAATTCCACTTCTAGGAATTTACCCTAAGAATACAGCAGCCCAGTTTGAAAAAGACAGATGTGCCCCTATGTTTATGGCTGCACTATTTACAATAGCCAAGATAAGGAAGTAATCTAAGTGTCCATCAGTAGATGAATGAATAAAGAAGAAGTGGTACATATACACAATGGAATATTACTCAGTTATAAGAAAAAAACAGATCCGACCATTTGCAACAACATGGATGGAGCTAGAGGGTATTATGCTCAGTGAAATAAGCGAGGTGGAGAAAGACAAGTACCAAATGATTTCACTCATATGTGGAGTATAAGAACAAAGAAAAAACTGAAGGAACAAAACAGCAGCAGAATCACAGAACCCAAGAATGGACTAACAGTTACCAAAGGGAAAGGGACTTGGGGGAATGGGTGGGAAGGGAGGGCTAAGGGGTGGGGAAAAGAAAGGGGGCACTATGATTAGCATGTATAATGAGGGGGTGGGGACAGGGAGGGCTGTACAACACAGAGAAGACAAGTAGTGACTCTACAGCATCTTACTATGCTGATGGACAGTGACTATAATGGGGTTTGGGGGGGACTTGGTGAAGGGGGGAGCCTAGTAAACATAATGTTCCTCATGTAATTGTAGATTAATTATGCCAAAAAAAACCCACCCCAATATGTTCAGTATGACTCTGAATAAGACAGAAATTACGTTCATATGTATAGATTTGTTGCCTAAGCATAGCAGATGTCTTGAAAAGTATAGGTCGAACAGCAATAGTCATCCTTAAAGGCTTTGAAAGTCATGCTGGGGAGTTTGAATTCTTCCAGGAGGTAGTTGGAGGCATTAAATTAATCAGGGAGGTCATTTTAGGGACTTTCTTAAGACCGCAGTCTGGATAAATGGAGCCAGAACAGACCAGACACGTGGAAACCAGTTAGAAACATTGTATACGAATCTAAGCAAGAGAACAAGAGTATTGAAATGAGGTTATCCTATGAGTATAGAAAGTAGAGAACAGACTTCAAACATATCAGAAATTCAGTAAGACAACTTGTGCAGGGTGAATATGGGGCTGAATAAAAGGGCCAAAGATAACTCGCCTCAAGCCTCTAGGCTTTAGCTTGGTAGTGTCTTTCACTGGAAGGGCAAATATAGGGGATGTGCTGAAGAGGAAGATACTGAGTTCCATTTCATACCAGGCAAGTTTAGACAGCAGCTGAATGAATACCTGGTGGTGGAGAACTTTAGGGAAACAGTTTCAAAAGCAAAATCGCAGAGGACTAAGAAGTTAGAAGTTGAAGCAGATAGTGAAGCTGCTTTAAGCGGCTTTGGAACAAATGAGGGAACAGATGGCTGAGTTGATCCACAGTCCGGGTTTGACAGAATGAGAGGTCTGGGAAGGTCACATGAAGTAATGGGTTGCCATGAAAGTGTGATGGAAATATTCCCGGGGTCCAGTGGGTAAAATGAAGCCAAGAGGACCTAAGACCTAGACCAGTGATTCTCAAAATTGACTGAGCAGCAGAATCACCTGAAGGGCTCCTGAAGCCACAGATTCCTGGGCCCCCCTCCACAGTTTCTGATTCAGTAGGTCCGAGGCAGAGCCCAAGAATTCGCCTTTCTAACAAGCTCTCACACTCGAATGCTGCTGACCTAAAGGCCGCACTTTGAAAGCCACTGGCCTAGAACAAAGCATCTGGCAGGTGGCAGATGCTGAATATTTTTCTGGGTGATGGATCAGAGTACTCTCAGGAACAGTTCTCTTACCTTAGGAACAGAGGTCTCCCTGCAGTTAAAGACCAGATGGAAGGTTGAGCCACATGGGAGGATGGAAGATGGTGGTCAGAGGAGAATTTGAGAGTTGGAATTCAGAGAAGGAACAAGTTTGGGTGGACAAAGTCCAGGATTGACCCTGCCAGGGGAATGACAGGAGGTCAAGGAACTGAGTGTCCCAAGGTCATCCAGATGGACCACATCTGGCAGAGGTCTGAGTCCAGAGGGAAGCTCCTACAGGGAATCACAATCTGAAGGGGCGGCTGGCTACATTCTGGGCCCGGATCATGCAGAGCTGACTGTGTGTACACCCACAGACGTCGTTGCTCGTCCAGTTAGTACATCAGCACTGGTAATGGATCGAAGGGAAGTTTGGGCCTCTGTGCCAGCTGTCTGCACATCCTGTAAGTATGGTCTGGGCTAGGCCCCAGGCTTTCTGGGGGAGCACTAGGGTCAGAGATGACCAGGATTTCAGCTCTGTAAGGGGGCAATTCATCTTAGGCCCTAAGGTTTAGGGCAGCAGGACTAACAGGAAGGCTGTCCATTCCAGGAGAAGTGACTCGTAAAGAATGCAAATTTCACTGGATTAGCATGTTTACAGATTAAAAATAGCTGCTAATTCTGCACCTTTTATGGCTTCCCCTTCCAGCTTTACAGGAACAATGCTCAGAACACGCTGTGGGGGTATGACTGTGATCAGGGCTTAGATTAAGGCCGCCGCAGCACGGGTTCCTACGGCCAGCTGGCACTGAAGAGCACTGAAGCCCAAGGTGCGGCCTCCCACAAAGTTACTTCCTCTCCCCTGCCTCAGTTTTCCCCGTGTAAAATACCGATAATAATAGTACACCACACAGGGCTCCCGGGAGGGTTAAGTGAGGTGGTTCACGCAGAGCTCCGGACGCACAGTGAGCACCCTATAAATACTAGCTATGATTTAACGCCCGGGCATATGCGGGGCCCGCGGTCCTGCAGCTCCACCTGTGGCGCGCGCTCTTCCCGCGCACCTGCCGGGCAGCGCCTCGGCTCCGCCGGCGGCCCCTGGGGACCCGGGACGGGGGGGGCTTTGCCGGCCGAGGGGGCGGAGCCCGGGGGCGGAGCCGCGCCGCCGCAGCAGCGTTTGCAGTGGAGACCGCCCGCCGCCGGGGACCGCGGGGGCCGCTGGGCTCGCCCCGCCTCGAGGAGTCAGGGGTCACCGGATGGCGGCGGCTCGCTCCCCGTAGCGGATACCCGGGTGCTGGGCCGATGGCGCCGGCGGAGCGCTGCCCCCTGTGCCGCCAGACCTTCTTCTGTGGTCGCGGGCACGTCTACAGTCGCCAGCACCAGCGACAGCTGAAGGTGGCTCTGGAGCGGCTTCAGCCCCAGGTGCGAACGGGAGGCAGTAAGGGTGCCAAGGACTGTGGGGCCGGGATGCGGCAGTGCCCGCGGGCCCGAGGAGGGGACATTCGGGGCTCCGGCTCCAGGTCCTGCTTGGCCTCTCCCCTTACACCCTCTCCGCCGCAGGTGGAGGCCGCCCGCAAGGCCGTCCGCGCGGCTCGGGTGGAGCGTTACGTGCCTGAGCACGAGCGATGCGTCTGGTGCCTGTGCTGCGGCCGCGAGGTGCGGAAACACCTGAGCCACGGAAACCTGACCGTGCTGCACGGGGGGCTGCTGGAGCATCTGGCCAGGTGAGATCCCAGCCGGGGGTCGCATACATTCGTGGCAGGGTGCAGGGTGGGTGCGAGGAAGAACGCTTTTGTGATTTCATCAGGGTGGATGGACTGAGCTATTTTACAGGCATTGCCAGCTTTGAGGAATAGGGGGCCTATGGTTGCCGTGGTCCCAGTGGTGGCGGTCTATCTGGGAGTGCCAGCTGGGCAGCTGGCCTCCAGTCACCAGCCATCACCTTTCAGATTCTCACACTTTTACTGGAAGAGGGAGACTGGAGATCTGGAAGACACTAGTCACAGCATGCTCTCGCAGTCTGGCCCAGAGGCGGAAACCCAGATATCAGTTTGCACTACTTATATAAGGTCTAGATATCTGCATAATATTCTGTAATCTGTCATTAAGCTTACTTGTCCTCTCCATGCTCAGCCCAGAGCACAAGAAGGCAACCAACAAATTCTGGTGGGAAAACAAGGCTGAGTACCAGATGAAGGAGAAGTTTCTGATCTCCCCCCAGGATTATGCACGGTAAGTCACTGGCCATAAAAGGTTAAGTAGCAGTGTGGATCTCTGGGTCTGTATGAGACACTGGGGCTTCCTCTATTAACTGGAAAGTTCCGGAAGGACTTTATGGATATCTGTTGCCATCATAGCATTCATCACTCTCGGCACTATATGGAACACAAAATAAGTATGACAGAGTTTAAGGAAAGGTTTATAATTTAGTTGGGGGGTGGGATTTACAAGGTATTTAGCAAACACAACAATTCAGCTACTGCAATGTGTGACACAGAGAACAGTAAGGTCCTTTAGAAATCTAAGAGGTTTTTCATGGTGTGCAAGAAATTAGTGCTCACCTAGTGCCCACTTTTAATAGCTTTAGACTCTGTGTTAACTGGCCTCTGGAGGACCCTGAGAAACGAGTGCAGAAAGCTAGTCAGCACAGAGGAAGTCAGGCACACAGAGCCCTGACTGCCTCAAAAGAGGACACAGGCAGCCTCACACTGCCACTTTTTTTTAACGGTATTATTGATGTACACTCTTAGGAAGGTTTCACATGAAAAACACTGTGGTTACTACATTAACCCGTATTATCAAGTCCCCCCATACCCCATCGAAGTCACTGTCCATCAATGTAGTAAGATGCCACTGAGTCACTACTTGTCTTCTCTGTGCTACACTGTCTTCCCCGTGACCACCACCACCACGTGTATCAATCATAATACCCCTCAATCCCTTTCTCCCTCCCTCCCCACACGCCCTCCCACACCCCTTCCCTTTGGTAACCACTAGTCCCTTCTTGGAGTCTGTGAGTCTCCTGTTTTGTTCCTTCAGTTTTGCTTTGTTGTTATACTCCACAAATGAGGGAAACCATTTGGTTCTTGTCTTTCTCCGCCTGGCTTATTTCACTCAGCATAAGACCCTCCAGCTCCATCCATATTGCAAATGGTAGGATTTGTTTTCTTCTCATGGCTGAATAGTATTCCATTGTGTATATGTACCATGTCTTCTTTATCCATTCATCTACTGATGGACACTTAGGTTGCTTCCATGTCTTTGCTATTGTAAATACTTCTGAGATAAACACAGGGGTGTGTATGTCTTTTTGAATCTGAAATCTTGCTTTCTTTAGGTAAATACTAGGGGTAGAATTCCTGGGTCAAATGGTATTTCTATTTTTATTTTTTTGAGGAACCTCCATATTGCTTTCCACATTGGTTGAACTAATTTACATTCCCACCAGCAGTGTAGAAGGGACTTTCTCCGCATCCTCACCAGCATGTGTTGTTTCTAGTCTTTTCGATGTTGGCCATCCTAACTGATGTGATGTGGTATCTCATTGTCCACACTACCACTTTTATTGGGACCATATTGAAATTATGGGGTGTGGAACCCAAGAGGGTCCCAGAGCCAAAGTTACAGAAAAACTTAAGGTATCTATTCCTTTCTACTTAGTGTGGAGGATAATGAGGGAATGATAAATGCCTAAATCCCACTACCTTGCCTTCAAGTCTTTGGTTCAGATTGGGACATAGGAAACTGAGGCCAAATAGCACTCACTCCTCATGGGTTTTGGTGGATGACTAAAGGGTAACTGAGCAGAAAAGGTAATAACTGAGGATGAGGATGGATTCTTTAAATCTTCTAAGTATAGTTTTGACTTTTGAACCTTGTGTCAAGCTCACACACTCAAGGCAAGGCCTGACTGACTTGATGAGTAAAGACACAATAAGCCACTTGTAGATTTAGTTAATTACTTATATGGATGGATAGTGAAAAGAGAAAGCCCAAAGTGCCGGCTCCCCAGGTCCTGCTGTCCCACACATCAAAAAGGAACTCAGTGAAATCAGAAGGACCAGGTGATTGCAATTAAGAGTTATGGGCCAGTCTGTTGCCAGCAAGCCCAATCTAGCATGTGGCTGTCATCTGAAAGGGGTAGGGCAGAAGGCCCTGTGCCTCATCAGAGCCCAGAAAGCAAATTCTAAAATTGATTACAAAGACAAATTATCTTAAATGTCAGACTGATAACAAAAGAAAATTGAAATAACTTGAATACAGAATTCTGACTGTGCACCCATATAAAGACATTTTCTGAGGACTTAAAAGGACTGCAAAGAAATCTTGAGCTTTGCTTAGTTTTACTGCTGATGGAGGTATGGATACTATTTTCACACCTTTTGTGTGTATTTTAGGCTAGAACTGCAAGTATATTGATATTGTCCCAAACAGCGGACAGATTGAACACCAGAAAGGATAACTGAGTTTCTGAAGTGTGGTAATGGTTTCATAGGCTGTTCCTGCCCTCTAGATGCCTGCCGAAATATGTAGAGTTAAGACTAATGAAGGCCTAAACCCATTTTTGTTTTGGCAAAAAGGAAATGTGTATACAGCAAAGAAGTGAATTCCGTATGGCAAATGGTAACAGTGAATCTCGGTAAGAGGTACACAGACTTTTGTTGCACTATTTCATTTCTGGTGGTTTGAAATTATTCAAAATTTAAATAAATGACTTACTGAGAGGGTCTTTTCACAATTCAGAAGAATTGGGGTTCTGGGCTAACTTGCCTTTTTTTCTTTTCAGATTCAAGAAAAATATGGTGAAAGGTTTGGATTCCTATGAGGAAAAAGAGGATGAGGTGATCAAAGAGGTGAGTTAGAGGCAAGGCCTCTGGAGGACCCAGCCCCTCGGTCTTGCCGCCATCTCAGCAGCCTCTCCCCCCCAGATGGCCGCTCAGATCCGTGCAGTGGAGCACAGCCGGCAGGAGGTGGTCCGGTCCGTCTTAGAGGTTGGTTTCCCTCGGAGGAGCCAAAGCAGTATCCAAACCCACGATCCTTGGTGACCCGGGGTTCTCCCAGGCGCGGCAGTTCACCTGCGAACTCTTCTAGGAAAGCTCATGGAACCCAGCACCGCATCTGCTCAACTTGAACTCCCTTACCTGCGCCCCCGTGCCCCGGGGGCAGGCCTTGTCAGTGACGAAGTGGGGAGGGCTGGGAGTGAGGGCAGAGTTTGCAAGATGGGTATTATTCTCCATATGCCAATTTGTTTCTTCTGGAGGGTGGGAGCAT